ATACTAATCATGTTAAATCCTATACAGTACTGTAGTAAGAATATAGGATGTTGGCCGGGTTGAAGGCCACACTCAATATTTTATGGTACATCTATATATTAAGGTCAGTGGGATATCGAAAGGTTAATCTCTTAAATTGAGTGTCTTTTTTCTTAAATAAGTCTATTCCACTTAAATTTGGCAATAGATCAAACGATTTAGTGACCCAGTGACCAGATATTCCGGTACGTATATCACAGACGGCCATGAAACTATATATGATTGTACAAAGTAAACTTTAACCACATATTCCGGGGTAAAAATATTTTTTTTTCTAAAATTAGATAAATTTCTCTAAATTTGGAAACAGATCAAAAGACTGGGTGGCCAGTTGACCTAGTTAGAGTTTATAAGAAATGCAGAGTAAGCTTTGGCCAGTAATTTGAATGGGTCAGAGTCGGTACATCGGACCTCGGGCTAATGGGAGATGAACATCAGCAAATTTAGGCCTCTGATATCCAATTTACCAATATTTGTTGTTAATGTTGATGGAAGAAACTGATTAGTAGACAAAAACCCCGTCACTGACCATGAAATGAAGGTCAACCAAGCATGGACCAGATCGAGCGGAGAGTCACGTTAGAAACCACGAGGTTTCATTTTATCAAAAAAATGATTGAGCTAAAAATGTCAAAGAGAGGTATTTCTTTTCGAGCTGGAAGTTGCAAATAAAATATGAATATGATGCAAATTAGATGAAAGATTACGAAACCTAGACCTACAAATATAAATCAAGTTTTTATGTTACTTAATGATTGAAAAAAAAGGTTCTGATCTTTATGAATATTTTCCTACAGAAACGCATTAGTCAGAAATGTTTGGTAAACATGGAAATATATTTCATGCCTAGTAGATGTACATGAAAATAACTGAATGATTAATATTCGTATGTGAAGGAACGAAACTCAAGAAAAGACCTCGAGGAATCAGGCAGAGTGTCACAGTACAAAGAACTACGCACGCTTACTCTCGATTTCCGCCTACATTTTACATGTATTTGTATTTCCATCTCATTCAGTATAAAAGGCACTCTGACCATTTTAAACTTTTTTGAATGTAATGAATAGTTCATTAGTAATTGTTCAATAATTTTAAACCAACATCAAAGAGTTAATTCCTCTTTTTTTTCTTTACAACACTTCTCATAAGAGATAAGGGGGGTGGGGGGATTTCTTCAATTTCAACATGAATGGAAATGGATATTAAATGACCCCCAAATCTTTCCGTCTGTTAAAATTATTAAAAATACAAATTAAATGATTAATAAAGTACTTTACTTTTCATTTACTATCCCATTAGAAATTGGTTATAAATGACCATTTTTACTTTTTTTGGTCTGTATATATATCCCCTTCCCCCCCACCTGGTGAAACACAAAAAACTTTATCCAAAAGTTAAAGATTATCTTCTTTATTTTCCTTCATTATCATATAAAAATCTATTAAAAAAATAAATAAAATACATTTTAAAATTGTGTTCAATTTTGAAAATTGACTTGGAGGTTCGAAGAACAATACTTTCGTTCCCAGTTCCTTTTGGAAAATTTCGAATGCAGTGTATTTAATAGACATGTAAAGATTGTCAATCGACAGATTAGTCCATGTCGATATACAGTGTGAAAGAACAATATGCCCCGAGGGTCCACTCGGGACAACGAAGTCAATACTTCAATAGAGGTCTTAATAAACTATTGATTCACATGTTATTTAATGAATTCAAAATATCTAAATGTCAGCGCTATCTAATCTAACGGCTGAGTAAACTCGGAACAATATTAATTCCTGACATAGGACTACGAAAGACGAATCCGATACATTTGTCATTTTGATATATTTTTTCGCCACCTGCCTCAAAACTTTGACTGAGGTCAGATTTTAAAAACTAAGTTATCAAAAATACTGGCAAAATTTGGGAAGGGTAATAGTATTTTATTGTATAGTATAGTATTAATGCACATACAATGTTTACCTGTAGATTTGGTTGACCTTCTCCAACAAAAATGTTAAATCATAGTAAACAATCGAAAACTATATTTAACTTTAGTGAATACTTTGATACTTTGATTTACTATGAAACTTTACTCTGGAACTTTTTTGAAGATGTAGAGTCTAACTATATCTTAATTACGTATACTGTATACAGGAAAATTTTTGCCCTCGTTTTATTTTCGCCCCTTTCGCCCTATCCTCTTTTGGGCGAATTTAAAACGGGGCGAATTCAAAGAATACAATGTAATTTCTTAAACAAAACTATGACTGGGCGAATTTAAAATGGGGCTAAATTGCTTGCGAGTGTGAGAGGGCGAAAAAACACGGGGCGAAAATAACCCTATATACAGTAAATGATGAAATGGTTTGATTAAGTGTGTAAATAAAAAGGAAATAGTTCATTTTAATATTAGAAAAATAAAATATATCTATCTGAAATTCATAGTCAAAAAAACTTTGATTTACTATAATACGATTTTTTTTTACTACATGTACGAGGGGTGTTAGAAAAGTTCGCGGACAAGTTCTATTGTGAGCGCGCTATTTCAACGAAACCGGTCAAACTTTCCAGATAAAATCTTTACCTTTTTTCCAATAAATGTACAAGAATTTGGTGCTCTCCGGTGATTATTGAAAAATATACAGCTTTTTTATTTTGATGAAACTTGCTTTACGGAGCATGCTACATTTTAGCACGTTTACATCACAAAGACTCTTTATTAAAATTAAAAATTGCACAATTGTAGCGCAAAGAGATTTATGATATTTTACCTGCCGCTAAAGTATTCATGAAACGTCACTGGGAGAAATTTTAAACTAAATTGGAGGGTGTATGACTGTTTTATAGCCGTTTATAAATTATCAACACGTAAAAACACAGCCAAAAATCGGAACGTCATTGAGCGTCATGGAGCACTGCACTACGTAAAAATTGTATATGCAGACTGGAAAATGTCTAAAAAGAGATTAAAATGTTCAAGATGCTGACGGGAATTTCCTACACCTACAAAGAACAAGTTTTCAAATGGTTGTAGCTTCAAAAGAGTGGAAGGATTAACATTTTGAATTATTAACTCCATCGATACTTCAAAACCCCGTATCGCATGGACTTTGTGTTGCGCCTATATGGTTTTGCATATAGTTTCCATACCTGATCGATTCACTGCATAGACTTTTTTAAAGATCTCAATAATATCCGAATCAGTAAAAAAGACATTACAGTAGAAAAGTAACATGTCTTGATATAGATATTCAATTTTAAAGTAGAAAAAAGATAAGAAATATCTGGAGAAATGAAAGATTTATAGAACTGTGACAAAGTTCAAAAGGTTGAAATCTGGTTGTCACGTCGCCTTACGTCAAGTGACCTCATAGAAAAATTGTTGTAAATTTTCAAGATTTTATAATATGGACCTGATTTTTTACATACCAATAAACAAAATGTAGGAATTTATTCAGACATAGGTTATACTTCACAGTACACAACAGATTTTCCGTAATTCAATGTGTCCGCGATCTTTTCTAACGACCCTCGTATAGATATTTAAAGTGATCTTTAGTACTTTTTTGTAAAGGTTTGCACTTCAGATTTAATTGCAGTTAATTCCCTTTTACAATTAATGTAAGTATAACAGTGGTAATGCGACAAAACAAAAATGTGATACGCCATTTTCACATAAAAAATTAACACTTCGACGACTTTTTTTATCCCGTACAAAAAGATTAATACCCCGAGGGCTCGATTTTTTTGTCCGTCTATGACTTTTTACCTGGTCAACTCTTTCTGGTCTGTAGTTTTCTTTTATTGTTAAATCTAGACTGGTAAAATCTCCAAAATCTATCATAGGTACGCTAAATTGTTTAAAAGTTTATTTTAATTTAACATGTGTTTAGGAAGTACATAATGATGTATAACATCAGCGAAGGTTGATTCCGACTGAAAATTCAATTTAGAATAGATGTACATAGCTATAGACATACCAAACAATGAGAGAATAGAATTAAAGGTTAACTACAAAGAGCTCCTGAATGACAAATGACGTCAATTTAGCGACATGTTTATTAAGGGGTTAATTAAAACGAGAAAAATAGAATAACATTGAATAAGGAATAAAATAATAAAAATTCAAACCCAAAATGCACCTCAGCTGGAATTACATGGTAGTGTCAATATATGTAATTATTAACAGATTACCGGGTAATTAATAATGTACATATGTACCAATCTAATTAAAATTAGATCTTTGGTCCGCTCCAGTTTGATCGCTACACAGGAGCGGATCAAAGATCTTATTTTAATTAAATTGCATATGCACATGCTTATGTTCACCTTTGTCTGTCCTAGCTGGGAATAAGTCTGTTTTGAATCCATAAAAATTTAAGTTTCACTGATCCTCTGATAAGCGAGATAACTCTCACTAGTTTAGTATTTATTTGTTCCTTTATTAAATTTTAAAATTCGGGAATTTAAAAAAAAAGAAAAGAAATTAATAGAACTGAAAGATATATTCGTGCTGAAAGTTTGTGCATTCCAATTATAAACTACATGATTTTTTTTTTATCTATCTGCATATTAACCTCTCTGTTACACTGGCAAATTCTCCTTCAAATTTGTGAATTTTCAAAGATAGACGTCATCGCTTGGTTGCTTTTGAAATCTTTTTTTTTTATTTCCGTGTTTTCATTTTGAAGTCTTTCGATTTCAGAACCGGTTTTTTTTCTTTTATTTTAGATTCTTCGGCTCATTTCAAAGAAAAAACGAAGTATCTTACAATAAACAAAACTTACTTACTGTCTCTAAAAGAATGGAACGGAATTCGAAATATTATTTCTGACATTATGATTTCTCAACAGATTTCTCAAAGAGGAAAATTCGCCAGTTTAACCTCCAAGATGGCGGCCAAAGGAAGATAACTCGTAGGAAAAATACGCCATATTATTAAAACTATCTATATTCAAGGTATCACACCGGTAATTGTTTTCACTATATAATTCTATATAGAATAAAAAATCGTTAAAAATCAGGTATTTGTTTACATGAAAAAATATTTAGCAGGAGGTGTTAAACATTACCTGTCACATTTGCTGACACCAAAAAACAGGGTACCCACACGGCATTTTCGGACTTTTTCCATCTGCAAACAGGGTTACCCTCAAATCCACGTGTTTTCACTGTGTTTATAAACACCTCGAGTGCACTACAGGAAGTAGCCTCCTATGCCATGAAAAAAATAGTTCCTGTCCAAAACCTCTATTTATTCACAAAGTACATAAAATTTACTAGGCACAGGTACCAAAGTTGTACAAATGGCATGGAAGAAAATAGAAAAACGCCTCAAAAGAAAAGAAAATTAATTCTATATATATGGACCTACATTTGACTAAGTTCATTTTGATTGGTCAATTACCGGTGTGATACCTTGAAGGACCTTTGAAGGTGTTCGAATTTTTCCATTTTTGCACCTGAGATTCATTAAATAATTGTCCCCAACATCCCTAAGTCTGGTGATCTAAATCCCCTTATTTCTGAAGATATGAAGCATTTATCTCCCTTACTCCAGAGCAGTCAAGAACAACACACACAGCACTCTGGAAGCAGTTTTTTGTGCATCTTTTGAAGCAGAATTTCATCATTAAAAGAATAAGCTTGGCAACCAATTTTTTATCCGTGGAGAGTATATGCTTTGTTCTTCACCACAAACAGAAAAGAGTTTACAAGTCTAAGACCATTATGTAATTATTACATAACAAAGTTGCATTTTCCCTTCAAAGAATGAACAAAAATACAGAAATTGTTAAATACTGGGTTGATAATGAAAACTGTATCTGGTCAATTTATGTTCCAAATAAAGCCTAGGTATGTGTCTACAAGCTGCTGTGCAGAAGTTTATCTAAATGCTGTGCTGTAACTCAGGGCAGTCAAAATGATATCAGCATCTAGGGAGGTTCTTCACAGCTCCCACACTCCATTGAACTGGCTTTGATGATAAGAAACTGGAGACAACAATTCAGATGTAATTTATTGTTGTGATTTATGCAACTGGCTTTCTCTTAAGACACAAATTAGCCATGAAATTTCAATTTAACATGCATAATTATTCTCTTTTCATGGATTTACTCAGGAATTCCAAAGGTGTTTAATGAATTTCCATGATTTATGCAAGATTATATCTTTTTGTTTCAACAAATTTACATAAAAAAATATACATTTAAATTTTAAAATATAAATATTAAACATTTTAATGAGTTTGAACACTTTTCTATGAGACAAAATGCATCACAGAGACCAGATTCAGGACATCCTCCATGATTCTTTGAGGTGGGTGGGTGTACAAAAACTGCTGATAAAATTTATAGGAAGTGATCTGAGAAGAAATGTGCACCTTATTAGCTGAATTATAGTTATTCTGATATTTCAATTATGTAAATATGCCAAATTTCTTCATCAGTTAAATTTGGAATTTATTAATATTTCAGTACAATGATATACTTAATAGATCATGCTCATATAAGCATCACTGACTGAGACTTAATTCAAAAGTGACAGTCAACACCTACATATAAATGAAAAAATAACAAAAAACAGTCTCCGACAAACTGAAAAAACATGAATGTCAGCTGCGAAAGCATAAATAAAGTCCTAAGAACCACAAGAGGCATGCCATTGGTGCTAAGTGACATTCTGCACTACATGTATGATGCATGGTTAGAACTCAGAATAAGTATTATCATGCAGACCTTGACAGTATTTCAGGATTTTTTGGTCATTACCTTCCTTACTGCGAAAAATTCTTAATGAATTTTACTTATGTAGCTTATGTATTAAGTTTATTAGACAGATCTGACTCATTTCATTATTTCTTTTCTTCCAATGCAGTAATGTATGTATCACTGGAGGTCTGAATAAATTAAAATAAATCATGTGTCTGTAGAAATTATCATTCTGTGAAAACATTTTTACTTGTTTACATTTTATCGCAGTTGTCGCTTGTGCTAAAAATTCATTCGCAAACCTAGAATTAGTCTATTCTTGAAAAATCAGCTTTAACACCCTTTACCGCAAAGTCTGTAAGCACTATAATTGACTGCGGTCAGCTGGTGCAAATAATGTTAAGTCATATAAAATGAAAAAACAATATTCTCTGACTTCTTTCCACATTTCAGATGCATAATGCTACCTTTTTAGTCATATTTTAAAGTATTGAGTGTAAAAAATAACCTATTGTTAATTTTTAAACAGAAATCTGTGAAAAATAATGTAAATTCTAATTCTAATTTTAAAATTGTGTGTTTTCAAACAAAAAGTTAATAAAATCACATATTTTGTTGAAATATGCCTTTTAAAAATGAAAAATGTCTTTAATAAGGATTAAAATGATTTTTCATAATCACCTTCAAGGTATCACACCGGTAATTGTTTTCACTATATAATTCTATATAGAATAAAAAATCGTTAAAAATCAGGTATTTGTTTACATGAAAAAATATTTAGCAGGAGGTGTTAAACATTACCTGTCACATTTGCTGACACCAAAAAACAGGGTACCCACACGGCATTTTCGGACTTTTTCCATCTGCAAACAGGGTTACCCTCAAATCCACGTGTTTTCACTGTGTTTATAAACACCTCGAGTGCACTACAGGAAGTAGCCTCCTATGCCATGAAAAAAATAGTTCCTGTCCAAAACCTCTATTTATTCACAAAGTACATAAAATTTACTAGGCACAGGTACCAAAGTTGTACAAATGGCATGGAAGAAAATAGAAAAACGCCTCAAAAGAAAAGAAAATTAATTCTATATATATGGACCTACATTTGACTAAGTTCATTTTGATTGGTCAATTACCGGTGTGATACCTTGAAGGACCTTTGAAGGTGTTCGAATTTTTCCATTTTTGCACCTGAGATTCATTAAATAATTGTCCCCAACATCCCTAAGTCTGGTGATCTAAATCCCCTTATTTCTGAAGATATGAAGCATTTATCTCCCTTACTCCAGAGCAGTCAAGAACAACACACACAGCACTCTGGAAGCAGTTTTTTGTGCATCTTTTGAAGCAGAATTTCATCATTAAAAGAATAAGCTTGGCAACCAATTTTTTATCTGTGGAGAGTATATGCTTTGTTCTTCACCACAAACAGAAAAGAGTTTACAAGTCTAAGACCATTATGTAATTATTACATAACAAAGTTGCATTTTCCCTTCAAAGAATGAACAAAAATACAGAAATTGTTAAATACTGGGTTGATAATGAAAACTGTATCTGGTCAATTTATGTTCCAAATAAAGCCTAGGTATGTGTCTACAAGCTGCTGTGCAGAAGTTTATCTAAATGCTGTGCTGTAACTCAGGGCAGTCAAAATGATATCAGCATCTAGGGAGGTTCTTCACAGCTCCCACACTCCATTGAACTGGCTTTGATGATAAGAAACTGGAGACAACAATTCAGATGTAATTTATTGTTGTGATTTATGCAACTGGCTTTCTCTTAAGACACAAATTAGCCATGAAATTTCAATTTAACATGCATAATTATTCTCTTTTCATGGATTTACTCAGGAATTCCAAAGGTGTTTAATGAATTTCCATGATTTATGCAAGATTATATCTTTTTGTTTCAACAAATTTACATAAAAAAATATACATTTAAATTTTAAAATATAAATATTAAACATTTTAATGAGTTTGAACACTTTTCTATGAGACAAAATGCATCACAGAGACCATATTCAGGACATCCTCCATGATTCTTTGAGGTGGGTGGGGGTACAAAAACTGCTGATAAAATTTATAGGAAGTGATCTGAGAAGAAATGTGCACCTTATTAGCTGAATTATAGTTATTCTGATATTTCAATTATGTAAATATGCCAAATTTCTTCATCAGTTAAATTTGGAATTTATTAATATTTCAGTACAATGATATACTTAATAGATCATGCTCATATAAGCATCACTGACTGAGACTTAATTCAAAAGTGACAGTCAACACCTACATATAAATGAAAAAATAACAAAAAACAGTCTCCGACAAACTGAAAAAACATGAATGTCAGCTGCGAAAGCATAAATAAAGTCCTAAGAACCACAAGAGGCATGCCATTGGTGCTAAGTGACATTCTGCACTACATGTATGATGCATGGTTAGAACTCAGAATAAGTATTATCATGCAGACCTTGACAGTATTTCAGGATTTTTTGGTCATTACCTTCCTTACTGCGAAAAATTCTTAATGAATTTTACTTATGTAGCTTATGTATTAAGTTTATTAGACAGATCTGACTCATTTCATTATTTCTTTTCTTCCAATGCAGTAATGTATGTATCACTGGAGGTCTGAATAAATTAAAATAAATCATGTGTCTGTAGAAATTATCATTCTGTAAAAACATTTTTACTTGTTTACATTTTATCGCAGTTGTCGCTTGTGCTAAAAATTCATTCGCAAACCTAGAATTAGTCTATTCTTGAAAAATCAGCTTTAACACCCTTTACCGCAAAGTCTGTAAGCACTATAATTGACTGCGGTCAGCTGGTGCAAATAATGTTAAGTCATATAAAATGAAAAAACAATATTCTCTGACTTCTTTCCACATTTCAGATGCATAATGCTACCTTTTTAGTCATATTTTAAAGTATTGAGTGTAAAAAATAACCTATTGTTAATTTTTAAACAGAAATCTGTGAAAAATAATGTAAATTCTAATTCTAATTTTAAAATTGTGTGTTTTCAAACAAAAAGTTAATAAAATCACATATTTTGTTGAAATATGCCTTTTAAAAATGAAAAATGTCTTTAATAAGGATTAAAATGATTTTTCATAATCACCTTGAAGGACCTTTGAAGGTGTTCGATTTTTTCCATTTTTGCACCTGAGATTCATTAAATAATTGTCCCCAACATCCCTAAGTCTGGTGATCTAAATCCCCTTATTTCTGAAGATATGAAGCATTTATCTCCCTTACTCCAGAGCAGTCAAGAACAACACACACAGCACTCTGGAAGCAGTTTTTTGTGCATCTTTTGAAGCAGAATTTCATCATTAAAAGAATAAGCTTGGCAACCAATTTTTTATCTGTGGAGAGTATATGCTTTGTTCTTCACCACAAACAGAAAAGAGTTTACAAGTCTAAGACCATTATGTAATTATTACATAACAAAGTTGCATTTTCCCTTCAAAGAATGAACAAAAATACAGAAATTGTTAAATACTGGGTTGATAATGAAAACTGTATCTGGTCAATTTATGTTCCAAATAAAGCCTAGGTATGTGTCTACAAGCTGCTGTGCAGAAGTTTATCTAAATGCTGTGCTGTAACTCAGGGCAGTCAAAATGATATCAGCATCTAGGGAGGTTCTTCACAGCTCCCACACTCCATTGAACTGGCTTTGATGATAAGAAACTGGAGACAACAATTCAGATGTAATTTATTGTTGTGATTTATGCAACTGGCTTTCTCTTAAGACACAAATTAGCCATGAAATTTCAATTTAACATGCATAATTATTCTCTTTTCATGGATTTACTCAGGAATTCCAAAGGTGTTTAATGAATTTCCATGATTTATGCAAGATTATATCTTTTTGTTTCAACAAATTTACATAAAAAAATATACATTTAAATTTTAAAATATAAATATTAAACATTTTAATGAGTTTGAACACTTTTCTATGAGACAAAATGCATCACAGAGACCAGATTCAGGACATCCTCCATGATTCTTTGAGGTGGGTGGGTGTACAAAAACTGCTGATTAAATTTATAGGAAGTGATCTGAGAAGAAATGTGCACCTTATTAGCTGAATTATAGTTATTCTGATATTTCAATTATGTAAATATGCCAAATTTCTTCATCAGTTAAATTTGGAATTTATTAATATTTCAGTACAATGATATACTTAATAGATCATGCTCATATAAGCATCACTGACTGAGACTTAATTCAAAAGTGACAGTCAACACCTACATATAAATGAAAAAATAACAAAAAACAGTCTCCGACAAACTGAAAAAACATGAATGTCAGCTGCGAAAGCATAAATAAAGTCCTAAGAACCACAAGAGGCATGCCATTGGTGCTAAGTGACATTCTGCACTACATGTATGATGCATGGTTAGAACTCAGAATAAGTATTATCATGCAGACCTTGACAGTATTTCAGGATTTTTTGGTCATTACCTTCCTTACTGCGAAAAATTCTTAATGAATTTTACTTATGTAGCTTATGTATTAAGTTTATTAGACAGATCTGACTCATTTCATTATTTCTTTTCTTCCAATGCAGTAATGTATGTATCACTGGAGGTCTGAATAAATTAAAATAAATCATGTGTCTGTAGAAATTATCATTCTGTGAAAACATTTTTACTTGTTTACATTTTATCGCAGTTGTCGCTTGTGCTAAAAATTCATTCGCAAACCTAGAATTAGTCTATTCTTGAAAAATCAGCTTTAACACCCTTTACCGCAAAGTCTGTAAGCACTATAATTGACTGCGGTCAGCTGGTGCAAATAATGTTAAGTCATATAAAATGAAAAAACAATATTCTCTGACTTCTTTCCACATTTCAGATGCATAATGCTACCTTTTTAGTCATATTTTAAAGTATTGAGTGTAAAAAATAACCTATTGTTAATTTTTAAACAGAAATCTGTGAAAAATAATGTAAATTCTAATTCTAATTTTAAAATTGTGTGTTTTCAAACAAAAAGTTAATAAAATCACATATTTTGTTGAAATATGCCTTTTAAAAATGAAAAATGTCTTTAATAAGGATTAAAATGATTTTTCATAATCACCTTCAAGGTATCACACCGGTAATTGTTTTCACTATATAATTCTATATAGAATAAAAAATCGTTAAAAATCAGGTATTTGTTTACATGAAAAAATATTTAGCAGGAGGTGTTAAACATTACCTGTCACATTTGCTGACACCAAAAAACAGGGTACCCACACGGCATTTTCGGACTTTTTCCATCTGCAAACAGGGTTACCCTCAAATCCACGTGTTTTCACTGTGTTTATAAACACCTCGAGTGCACTACAGGAAGTAGCCTCCTATGCCATGAAAAAAATAGTTCCTGTCCAAAACCTCTATTTATTCACAAAGTACATAAAATTTACTAGGCACAGGTACCAAAGTTGTACAAATGGCATGGAAGAAAATAGAAAAACGCCTCAAAAGAAAAGAAAATTAATTCTATATATATGGACCTACATTTGACTAAGTTCATTTTGATTGGTCAATTACCGGTGTGATACCTTGAAGGACCTTTGAAGGTGTTCGAATTTTTCCATTTTTGCACCTGAGATTCATTAAATAATTGTCCCCAACATCCCTAAGTCTGGTGATCTAAATCCCCTTATTTCTGAAGATATGAAGCATTTATCTCCCTTACTCCAGAGCAGTCAAGAACAACACACACAGCACTCTGGAAGCAGTTTTTTGTGCATCTTTTGAAGCAGAATTTCATCATTAAAAGAATAAGCTTGGCAACCAATTTTTTATCTGTGGAGAGTATATGCTTTGTTCTTCACCACAAACAGAAAAGAGTTTACAAGTCTAAGACCATTATGTAATTATTACATAACAAAGTTGCATTTTCCCTTCAAAGAATGAACAAAAATACAGAAATTGTTAAATACTGGGTTGATAATGAAAACTGTATCTGGTCAATTTATGTTCCAAATAAAGCCTAGGTATGTGTCTACAAGCTGCTGTGCAGAAGTTTATCTAAATGCTGTGCTGTAACTCAGGGCAGTCAAAATGATATCAGCATCTAGGGAGGTTCTTCACAGCTCCCACACTCCATTGAACTGGCTTTGATGATAAGAAACTGGAGACAACAATTCAGATGTAATTTATTGTTGTGATTTATGCAACTGGCTTTCTCTTAAGACACAAATTAGCCATGAAATTTCAATTTAACATGCATAATTATTCTCTTTTCATGGATTTACTCAGGAATTCCAAAGGTGTTTAATGAATTTCCATGATTTATGCAAGATTATATCTTTTTGTTTCAACAAATTTACATAAAAAAATATACATTTAAATTTTAAAATATAAATATTAAACATTTTAATGAGTTTGAACACTTTTCTATGAGACAAAATGCATCACAGAGACCAGATTCAGGACATCCCCCATGATTCTTTGAGGTGGGTGGGTGTACAAAAACTGCTGATAAAATTTATAGGAAGTGATCCGAGAAGAAATGTGCACCTTATTAGCTGAATTATAGTTATTCTGATATTTCAATTATGTAAATATGCCAAATTTCTTCATCAGTTAAATTTGGAATTTATTAATATTTCAGTACAATGATATACTTAATAGATCATGCTCATATAAGCATCACTGACTGAGACTTAATTCAAAAGTGACAGTCAACACCTACATATAAATGAAAAAATAACAAAAAACAGTCTCCGACAAACTGAAAAAAACATGAATGTCAGCTGCGAAAGCATAAATAAAGTCCTAAGAACCACAAGAGGCATGCCATTGGTGCTAAGTGACATTCTGCACTACATGTATGATGCATGGTTAGAACTCAGAATAAGTATTATCATGCAGACCTTGACAGTATTTCAGGATTTTTTGGTCATTACCTTCCTTACTGCGAAAAATTCTTAATGAATTTTACTTATGTAGCTTATGTATTAAGTTTATTAGACAGATCTGACTCATTTCATTATTTCTTTTCTTCCAATGCAGTAATGTATGTATCACTGGAGGTCTGAATAAATTAAAATAAATCATGTGTCTGTAGAAATTATCATTCTGTAAAAACATTTTTACTTGTTTACATTTTATCGCAGTTGTCGCTTGTGCTAAAAATTCATTCGCAAACCTAGAATTAGTCTATTCTTGAAAAATCAGCTTTAACACCCTTTACCGCAAAGTCTGTAAGCACTATAATTGACTGCGGTCAGCTGGTGCAAATAATGTTAAGTCATATAAAATGAAAAAACAATATTCTCTGACTTCTTTCCACATTTCAGATGCATAATGCTACCTTTTTAGTCATATTTTAAAGTATTGAGTGTAAAAAATAACCTATTGTTAATTTTTAAACAGAAATCTGTGAAAAATAATGTAAATTCTAATTCTAATTTTAAAATTGTGTGTTTTCAAACAAAAAGTTAATAAAATCACATATTTTGTTGAAATATGCCTTTTAAAAATGAAAAATGTCTTTAATAAGGATTAAAATGATTTTTCATAATCACCTTCAAGGTATCACACCGGTAATTGTTTTCACTATATAATTCTATATAGAATAAAAAATCGTTAAAAATCAGGTATTTGTTTACATGAAAAAATATTTAGCAGGAGGTGTTAAACATTACCTGTCACATTTGCTGACACCAAAAAACAGGGTACCCACACGGCATTTTCGGACTTTTTCCATCTGCAAACAGGGTTACCCTCAAATCCACGTGTTTTCACTGTGTTTATAAACACCTCGAGTGCACTACAGGAAGTAGCCTCCTATGCCATGAAAAAAATAGTTCCTGTCCAAAACCTCTATTTATTCACAAAGTACGTAAAATTTACTAGGCACAGGTACCAAAGTTGTACAAATGGCATGGAAGAAAATAGAAAAACGCCTCAAAAGAAAAGAAAATTAATTCTATATATATGGACCTACATTTGACTAAGTTCATTTTGATTGGTCAATTACCGGTGTGATACCTATATGGCAGCTCCGCTTGTATGCCTGCCAGCAGGGTGATGAGAATGACGTGAGTGTTACAGGGGCTCCCCAGGGAGTTCATTGTTTTTCCATATACCGTGTCACTACGGACAGTATCTATTTGTTCATAAAGAATAACTAATTTCACGTGCGTTTTCACAAATTAGAGAAAAATATGAAATCACTATTAATACCTTCAATAATCAAAATAATAATGTTTCTGTAATATTTTGAAAAAAAGACATCCAATATTAATATTGATTATGATTTCTTTTCAAACACTGCATAGACATTTTGTATCTTCCTGTTAGAACAAAATATCGGAGTTTTCTTACAGATGATGAATTTGAGTAAAATGTTGGACTATCTGTAGTGTATTACCTTAGGTTAACAGTGAATAATTAGTCATTACTTAGTGAATTAACAAAACACGTTCCTGGCCTTCATTCAGAAAGATTCATCGCCTGACTTAAAGGTTCGAAATGAATTGATGTAAACTCTGTGTTTTGAAGAACAGATTTGAATACATTTTTGATGACCAGAATGCTAGGATTTGAAATAGTCTTGCTTAAGATTACGAAGCAAGTAATGATATTCGAGAAATTCTGAAACTTACCAAAGGCGATTGCATAAGCATTAGCTTTAGCATTTTAAATGTGTGTATTTTTCCTGTGATATATGTGTATGTCTAATTAAGAGAGTTCTCGTTTTACACTGCTTATTTAAACCCCTGTCACACCGGGGCTGCGTCCTCACGGCGACTGCACGGCGTCCTCAAAAAATGCAAAACGCCGAGGTGATCGCAGTAGAGTCTCCTACAGCGCCGTGACAACGCGGCGAGATCTCCACTGAACGCCGTAGGGTCGCGTAGGGTCTCCTAGAACGCCAGGGGACGGCGATCACTTTGGACATGCACAAAGTACGCGCCGTGTGATCGCGGTCTGATAAGAACGCAGTAGAAACATAGTATGATCGCCGTAGCAGCGTGGTGAGATCTCCAACAACGCAGCGGGCGCTCCGTGCGAACGCCGTGAAGACGCACATGATCGCGGCACGAACGCGGTGATAGTAGACTGCGCTTCCACGGAGACCTCACGGAGATGTCGCGGAGTTCTTGGAGATGTCACTGCGTTTCTATCTCGTTTTTACGGCGCTTCTAATGAGATTTATCGTCTGGTGATTTTTGCGACTGCGATTACACGGCGACAGCACGGAGTTGTCACTGCGATTATTGCGCTCCCATGGCGTTTCTACAGCGTCCGTTTGCAATCACAATGCGCTTTCACAGCGTTGTTAGAACGTTGTCAGCCAGCTCACAAAACAAGAGCAATGGGATCATATTTGATCAGCAATAATTCCAACGTATTTGTTGCACTAAGAGCATTTAAGTGAAAAAAAATGAAAGAGAAAATTACACCAGAACTTGTTCTGTTGTCTTACTCAAATTTTGTAGAAAACGTTTCAGTGTGTTTATTATTTTTTTTTTACATTCATTATAAAAGAAAATCTAACAAAAAATCTGAACCGATAAAATTGAAAAAAGGAGTTTAATCATAAAACTATTAATAATTTAGTATTAAATTGTTTAAATAAAACATTTTTGATTATTAAGAATATTTCTTGGCATGATTAGAAGTCTTTTTATCGCGTAACTTGAATCTTTAAATAAAAATGTTTTACATTCCTTCTAAATATATATCAATGAGTATAGAACGCATTGTGAACGTATTGTGAACGCAGCCAGCGCAGTGAGAACGCCGTGAACAAGAGGTGAAAACTCCTAACGCGCCGTGAAAACTCCGCGAAAGCGCAATCAATCGCCGAGAGATCTCCGTGGGAACGCAGTAGAACGCCGTGAGATCGCCGTAGAATCGCGTCCGTCGCCGTAGGGACGCCATGACATCTTCATATTATAAAAATTTTACAGAAATGTGTAAAATTTTCTGCTATTCCACGGCGATTTTAAAAATTTAACAACGCCGTAATGACTCCGTGTGAACGCAGCTTGGTGTGACAGGGCCTTTTAAGGTAGCAGTATATTGACTGTGTAAATATAGGAGAACAATACCGTATTTAATGGTGGTTTAATGATGCACAGAGAAGCTGTAATGCTTATATTTTTGTATATCCTCTGTTTATATTTTTTGTAAAGGGCATAAATTGAAGCTTGAGAATTCTATCGATTTTTGGCGCGTATTGAATTGAGATTCATTAATAATAACTCTCATATTAAACAGAGTCTATTTATCGCTTTTGTTTATAAGCCATTGTGAAATGATTAAACTTTAATGAAACGCTGATATGAGCATCCATTGCTTTTAAGGGTTTCGTCGTAAAGCTAAATATTTCATGACAATCGAAAACTTTATTAATGCGGAAGAGATGAAATCTAAACTGAAGATTAGTTTTAAATTCACTAAGCAAAGCAATGGACAACATTTGTTGAATGATGTATTTTTATGTAAAATTCAGATTTGTATGACTACTTGCAACCAAACTACAACCATGGCAGATTTGGATTAATATTCGGTTAGATATTAATTACAAAGAAATGAAAAGAGGTGTGCATCTTAAGAGACAGTTTCTGATCTGGTTAATTTTACTGGAATTTGCGTACATTCTGTCATTCATATTCCTTGTTCATTTTGGAATTGGTAACGAAAATAATAACAGAAACCGGAGAAGGATGCAATCCGAAAGTTCCAAACAATGTGAAATGATAGTAACGGACAAAGTACCTTTGCCATCCAAAACGTTTTATGCGTGTGAAAAGGAGATTTTATTTTTTGACAACATGTTTGCAGTCCTTAACAATGTTACACTACGTGTTTCTAGAAGTTCCAATTCCAAGGAAAACGGAAGTCGGTTCTCCATGTTTTATAATTCCAACCATTGTCAAAATAGGATCAATTTAGAAGGACTGAATTTAAGAAACCCAGTCCTTTCTTGGATTAAAAAGATTCAGATAAGTAATAATATCTACAATAATTCAATTTATTCTCAGGGAGTTGGATTCCTTGTCTCAAGGCACGATTTGAATAATCTATATCACACGATGACTCTGATTTACAATATGGTGGTGGCAAAATTTTTGCTACGAATCACTCATAGTACAACTGTCGTTATTTTTGTGGACGCCTATGACGAGAAAACAGTTTTACGGGAACTGTGGGATACTTTATTTCAGGAAATTGTACATATAAAGAAAGTGTCCAACGCCCTTCATTTTCGTACATTGATAATGGTAAATTCTGGATATGAGGGATATCTTAGCCACTTCCGGTTGCCACGACTGCCATTAGTTTCAGAATTTACACAGTTTGTTGCAAATAAATTCGAAATTTGCAACAAAAGGGAATTGAATTGTTCTAGTATCAATATTTTGATTATACTGAGACAAGATGATAGAAATCAAAATGATTCCATTAAGGTGATTGAACGTAAATTCTACAACGAAGATCGTATGCTTTCGGAGATTAAGAGGTCACTTCCAGAGCATACGGTTAGAGGGGTGCGACTCGAAAGTTTTCCTATAAAGACCCAATTTTCATTTATTGCCAAAACTGACTTTCTCATAGGAATTCATGGAGCGGGCATGACGTATGCTCTATTTTTACCAGAGCACGCAGGCGTGCTCGAACTTTTTAACGCTAATAGAGACACCGGAAATCTTCACTATAGAACCATCTCAAAATGGCGGAACTTATTTTACCGGGCCTGGCAAAATTACAGGATGAAAGATGAATTTCCGAACTTCCGGACCCGTTTTCATGCTAGAACTATAAAGTATTATGTTATGGAATATATTCGATTCAAGTGTAAAAGTATTTGAAAATTTTAAGGTTTTCACTTTACACTAATGAAAAATGTTTTATTGACATCGAAAAAAATTACATGCTTAAAAAATGTTAATGTTGAGTTCATCAATTTAATTTTGAATTATGATACTTTTCGGTTATTCCAGAGAAGAAATGTTTTAATATGTTTATATAAATGAAACAGAATTCAATGTTACATTAATTTACTTAAATTTAAGAGAAGTGTTCAATTGATTCGTTTTGGCTTAAGCTTAACAAGATGACAAGAATGCTTGAAATTATTATTTGTTCGTTCCTGATGTGTTCTTCAAAGTTTCATAGTATTGGGAAAAATCAAATAAGCGATCTCCTTAAAATTAAACGTATGGTTAATTTTTCGATATCACATTTATCATTATTATCGTCATCCCTGAGAGAGTGGAGTGACACTATACATAATGTATATATGCAGTGAAGACAGGTGCGTATATTGAAGCCAACGACCCATGCAATCATACAAATATTTCAAATAATTTAATTTAATCTTTGACAATAAAATTTTTTTTTGCTAAGTACATGTTATATAATACTAAGCCTATAAATTAAGCTTACAGATACACGTATATGTAATTATATGTATGTAAAAAAGGAGTTATGGAACATATATTGGTGAAATTTTGCACGAATTGATTATCTATTTGTACAGATAACTCTTGCCATGCAATTCAAAATTAATAAGTTCAATAAACCTATGATATTAATGTTAGCAAAATGTTTCGTATTTTGGAATCGATATAAAATGAATACTAAGCACCTGCAGCAAAGAAAAAGGCTTTATGTATTTCAGAATCAGCTGTTAGGTGATGTTAGCTTGAAAGTAATTGTCTTTTTTTGTTTTTGAACTGTCAGTAAATAAATAGCATGATTTTAACAAGCTTTGAGAATGATTATAAATATATTGTGATTCTTGTTTTCCCTTTAATTACAAAAAAACTGGTATGGTATATTTCAGATATGTTTCTGAACCTTTAGAATTGACTTCGTTTTTGTCTGTTCATAAAGACAAAATTAAAGCGCATTAAATAAAAATAAAAATGAAGTCTTACTGAAAAAGATTTTCTGGACAGTATTAAATGTACTGCGTATAGACAGAGTTATCTCGCTTGCATTTTCCTTGAACGTTTACAGCGTTTCCAAACAAGGAAATGCAAATGCGACTTGAAGTGATTATTGGAAACAGTTCAGGTCAGAAACAAGAATACATTTTCTGTCCAAACGATAGATTTTAATAGCAAGCAAAGTGATTTAGGG